ATTAAAAATAAAAAAAAAAAAAAAAAAAAAAAAGTGCATTGATTCTGGATAGCTAACAAGTCTTCTTCTTGTCTCTCTCTCCTAAACTATGTGATATCTATGCTTCTCCTGGGAATACCAATACCACTGGTTACAGCAGCAGCAGTTGCAGGCTCAGCATCTTTCCCATGGCCATGGACCTCCAGTGCCTCTAACACCACACCCATCAGGACTTCAGCCTCCTGGAATTCCTCCTCTTGGAAGCAGTGCTGGTCTTCTTGCCCTTTCTAGTGCTTTGGGTGGGCAGTCTCACTTGGCAATAAAAGATGACAAGAAGCATCACGATGCAGAACACCACAGAGGTGAGAGGCATGGCAAGCCTGATTAGGACATTGTCAAATTCGCACATTGCAAATTGTGTGCATCTCTAAAGAAATCGAGTTATATAGAATGAAAACGAGAACAAACTGTTGGCAAACTTAAAAAAAAAAAAAGCGTGTCTTCATTTATATCACTGAAGCAAAATTCAGCTTGGAAGTTTTCAGTATTGGAAATGGGGGCTCTATTAGGTGTCTCCTGCTTTCTAGATCGCAGGGCATCTTGACATCCTGGCGAATGCTTAGTGTAACACCAGTGGCCTGCACAATATTATGGAAAACTGTTAAACTGCATAATTGGGTGATTTTTTTTTTTTTTTTTTCAAAGAAAGTAATGTTGTTAAATGGGTGGGGGAGGGAAGATGGGATAAGAAGTTAAATTTTGAGGTGAATGTGCTTAAAAGACAGATTTAGATAACTGCATCTGTTACTTTAGTTTGATAGGCTTAAGTTTTAGTACGCATTTAAATATCGGGCAAAATTGCACTTGACTAATTTTTGAAAAAAAATAATTTATTCTGTCATGAAATAAAAAAGAACTAGGCTTTGTGTATGGTTAAACTGTAAATCTATCATGTTTACAAATTACTGTAATTTTCAGGAAATCACTGTATTAGGAATGTGCAATGACTTATATAAATAAAGCCATTTTAAAACTGTTCGCGGCTTGTGTTCTAATTTTTTTCCCCCCTTTTTTATTTCTGTTCTTGCCTCTGTGTCTGAACGGGCATGTCTGTGCATTTCTTGGTTGCTACGGGAGCAGACAGAGAGCCGGGCACAGTAAGTACCAATACTCCTGCTAACATTAAAATGTTTCGACTTCTGAAATACTTAATAAGCAAAAGTGACTCATGCGTGCTTGTAATTTGTAGGTTTCCCTGTTTTCCTTCTGTTTAGTCACAACTGTAAGAACTGGCATATGTGTTTTCCATTAGGATAACTTAATGCTCTGTGTATGATGGAAGAATTAAAATAAACTGTTTAATTAAAAAGCTTCTATGGTCGTGATAAACTAATGGCCAAGCAATCTGATTTTAAGGAAATTTGAACTTTAATCAGACATGATTTGATTTAGTTTTCTAAAGTCATTTTATAGCTGCTGACATTATGAGTAGTTGTTAGAGTGGCTTTTGTATATGTATATATGTAGAAGTCTAAAGTTACAGAAAAGGTGAGAAATTAAAATGTGTGCAGTTATAGTAGTTTCTTGCATTTTGTGCTCTAACTGACTCTATGCCTCCTTGAGCTGCAGATTAGCAGAAGTTTCCCTGGAATTTTTTTCCAACATATACTGTAAAAAGAAAAAGAAAACAAAGAAAGAAAGGGAAAAAAAATCCCCAAAGCCCTGAATTATAAAATGAGAAGCTTTTGTTAAACCTAAAGTTAGCCAACAGGTGCTGTATTATGCTCTCTTCACACTTTCTGACTGATGGTCTCAAACTCACCATTGGTTTCTGTAGGTACATTGCTACTTTGTTTGTAAAAGGGAATTGGTCTCAGTGGGCCTGTCTATACGTTCATTAATTTGCAGTGGTTACTGCATATTTAATTTAGTACTTGTATAATCAAGTACTAAATAAATGCACAGTGACCCGAGTTACTGCTCAGTAGCATCAGTGAATGCCTTTTTAGCAATGACATTGTGCGGTAGTCTAATAAAATGACACAGTAGCGTATTAGCACTGTCTGTGCTGTCACATGCTACCGCACAGTATTGTTAGGCTATTGCACAGTTGGCGTCTTGTGTAGGATGCACCCAGTGATACCATTGGCGAGTTTGGTCCTATATCCAGAAAATGAGTTGTGACCCCTACACTCTCGTATTTCCAATTAAGAAGCAAAAAATTTATTTTCTTTTCATAGGAAAAGTTATTAATTAGTAAGTTGGCCCGAAGACACTAAACTGCTTGGTCCTTTATATGCTTACAATTGTTAGTGGTTTAAATTGTGGGATTTGAAATAATTTAATTAAGAATTTCCTGCACATTTTTCAAGTGACAAACCAAATCTAATCTTTTTTTCTTGTTTTTAAACTGAATTTTACAATTCTTGTTTATTTGCTTGTGAACTGCAGTGACATCATTAAAGTCAATATAGCTGTGGAAGTGGTCTCGGGATGGAGTTCCAAAAACACAGAAGGGACTTAGAAATGCAAGGAGCATTGGATTTCAATGAAGCTTATGTTCCTAAGTTTGTTTGGTGTTCCTGAGAATTTTTCCTGAACTTAACTGCTCTGCGAACCAGAAGGGAAACCCTGTTGCACTTCGGCCCTACAAATATTTGCATTTTTTCCTAAAAGTCGTCTTCAGATAACTTTAAGAAAAGGTTCTATATATTTATAAAATCAACAGGTCAAATGCTCTTTGCATATTTTTTTGTTAAGTTCAGGGGCTCAGAATGACCACACAATGGTATAAAATTCAGACTTACGCTCTGTATACCTCGTGTCCATAAAATAAATCTTCTGGAATATAGATATGATTTGTGGGTGGGGAACAGCTGTCAGAAATGCTTTTTTGTATCTTGTATGAGTTGCAAGTGCTGTTCTCTTGGGCGTAATTTTAAAAAGTAATAAGTCTTTGTAATAAACGAAACCATTGCCTAGAAGTCACTACCATCCACCATATGTCAAACGTATGCATGCTGGACTGTTTCTCTGCCCTGGATGTGATATAACCAGAAGAGTGCATGCTAAGATACCATACAGGATCATGGAAGCAGTCTGAGACTTCAAGGCACTGAAAGATGTCAGAAATGTTAAGAAAATTGTGTGGAATGTCCTTTTCAGCTTTGCTAGTTGGATATACCACCTGGAACTGACATCATGTTGGTATGCTATTGTGTATATGGCACCTTTTACATTTCAGTTAGACTGGAGTATGTTTAATGGCTTAAATATGATTTGTAGCTGAATAGGGATGTACTTGCAAAAAGCTATGCTATTTGTCATAAAACTAAGAGTGAATGCAGCACTTAAACTGTTTTGTCACATACTAAAGTACATCAAAACTAAAGGGTCTTCTCCAAATTCAAATTTAAGTTTGTGGCTAAAATTGTAGGGGTTTGTGCGTGTAGTTAAAAAGTGATCTTTGATTTTTTTTGATTTCCAGCAGAGTTAGTTAAATCTTTAGTATTGTTATGATTTTTTTTCAAGGCATATAGTCAACTGGTCATAGTTACATAACTTGCACCAATACAGCTACAAATCTTACACTGTTTCTGAACCTAGTACTGTATTCTTAGAATGCAAATTACTATGTAAATCTCTTGTTACTGACCTAAATAATTGTTTCAGTGCAGCTTTGCACATCAACTATGTCTGCTGATACTGCTGAACTTCTAGCAGAAATATGCTCCAGCCTAATATGTAGTCAAGTTTAAGAATTATAAGGTTTGAAACGGAAATTAGACAATGGGGGCACCTATACACGAGCAGTGAGGCTGCTCTGATGAACTGTAATTACAGTGTGTTGCAACAGATTCAGTTAACCGAGTCTGGAGCATGATAATTACCATGCTCCAGCAGACTCCAGCGTCTTGTCTGTCAGCGTTCCCGTGCTGAAAAATGGTGGTGGGGGTGGTTTAAAGCTCATTTGATGAGCTTTATTTAAAACTTCCCCTCCGCCATTTTTCAGTGGGGACACCGATACATGAGATGCTCTGGGCACTTTAATTAGTGTGGCTCTTGGAGCCACTTTGAAGCAACCCTCCCGACTCCTGGAGCACATGTATAAATTCCCTGAAAGCCTGGAGAAGGTATATTTAAGTAATTCCCTTATCATTCTTCATGAACCTGGTACAATCAGTGCTTACAGAGGTGTCTGCCATACATGCACATGCTACACACAGGTGGTAGTCTACACTTCAAAAAAAAAAAAAATCTTCCTCTATTACTTTTTTCCATTTTTTTACTCTAAATTGTGAAAGTCCTGGTACTTTTAATGCAGATCTTTAATTAAGGGGAAATGGCACTTAGAATTCAGGTTGGACAGTTCCATAGATAGAGCACTGAACAGATAACTGAAACCACATTTCATGGTATGTGATCTCAGCTGTCCAGAATAGAGGCACCTTTAATAGGGTTTGAAGTGGGAATGTGGGCATTTTAACTATTGTGACCCTTTTGCCACAGCTAATGAAGCCAATTCGGTCTGTTATGCTAAGCGAGTTCTGTAACTGAAGTTTAATAAGGGCTTGAGGAGACTCCAGTGTAAGAAAGCTTTGATATCCACATTTTTCTCTTGAGGGCATAATGGCAACATCTGTCAGACTCATCTCAGGTATTCATTTATCACTTGCCCTCCCACTGTTCTAGTATCCTACTTGGACAGCATAGAAATGCAAATGGTCTCAAGTGCTCTATTGTACCAATTGTAATCTGTAGACAGTAGAGTTTAAACCTTTCAATGTATTTGGGATTCATGTTAAAAGAGCAGTATATCTTCTGTGTGAAGACCAGAATTTTGAGTCTGCTGACAACCCCCTCCCCCACCAGGAGGGGTGGGACCTTCAAAAAGTACCTTTAGGTTAGAAAGCAGTTGATTTTCGGTGTGATATTTGTTTGTAGGAAATGTACAATTGTTTACAAAGCAATCACTTCTATTTCACAGTAAATAAAGCAGTTTCCTGTGATCTCTGCCTGCCAAAAAAGAGCTTTATTGTCGTCTTCCCTTTTCTGAGTGATAGCCAACTTTTTATAAAACTACTTGACATGAAATTTTGCACAAATAATAATTTGGAAGTCTACAATGTTTACATAAAAAAAAGAAATGATGCTCTTCAGATGCCATCTTCTTAGCATATGTATCTCTGATACAACTTGTAAAAAAGAAACTTGCTTTATTTAACCACATATATAAGCCTCTTATTTACTTTAAGGGCCCAATCCCTCGTCTTTATTCATTGGAAAACATCAGTTATTCCAATGAGAGCTATGTGCACATGCACACTTCAGGGCATTGAATTCAGTTTGCTGTGAAACCCAGCATGAGCTGGTGGCTTGTCACAAGTTTAAAATGAAACGAAACAAAACAAAACAAAACCAACCTGTCTTCCCCCTTCCTCCACTGCCCCCAAAGAGGAAAAAATCAGCAAAGGGGGACAGAATCAGGGGTGGTCCAGCATAAATATTTATGGGTAATCCCTGGCCTCCATTTTTAGTGTTACTTGTAGCTGAAAAATATTCAGTTTAATAGAAGCCTTGTTTTAATCTATTGTTAACTTCTTCTGATTATTAATCTAAGATGGAAAGCAATTCAACATTTCTCTCTAAGCTTTTCTGGTTCCTTTCCTAGTGTCTGAAACTTGTGGCAGATGCTATAGAGAGCTTGTGTTGCTACTGCACCTCAGTAACTAGCAGCTTTTTAATGGTAACGTAGCCTGTTCAAAATATATAACACTTGTTTAATTTCAAATAGAGTAAGACATGGGAACAAAAAAGAAGCATTGGGAGAAATTATAGATGTGCGAAAAGACAAATAACTTGCACGACTTTAAACAAAATTAACATTTTTTTAATCTTATTTTATTTTGTATACATTTATTTTGTAAGAAAGCACATCTCAGATATATGGGTATTGGATACAGAAGACTGGTAGGATTATTGTTTTATGTAAGTTGTTAGGTCTTGAGTCAAATAACCCTTTTCAATTGGGTAGATATTTTAAAAATTACAACCCACAGGAGCTGGTAAGTGCTATCCCCTCCTACTCATCTCATGCTGTTCTAGTTTTACTAGTACAATATGTCAGTCATGTTTCTCTGCATAGTGAGTGCCAGTG